GTTGGCACTAATATAAGAAGTTTGTAACTGCCCCATGGCGCCATGCGAACAAAGGTCGAATACGCTAAATTCCACAAATAGCGACCGGCGACAACGTTTAGTCTATGCTCAAAGAAAAATTTCGCCACACATTAAATACCACTTTCTAAATGATAGTCCTATATCTTATTTTCACACATCATTTCATTTTGTCTTAACAGATAAGAGTGATTGTGTCAATTTGCATATGTACACTGAGAGAAATTATTCGATAAGAAATTAACGAACGGATAGATAAATAATTATTACTTAAACTAGACATATCTTCATGTAATTAATGGGATTTACTTGTTTTTTCATGTTCCTTGATTCTAATTGTCGCAAATGTGCATCAAAATTTTGCTCGCAATGCAACACGTTAGTTATTTCTAATATATAATCTCATAAATTTAGAATATCTAATATCAATATTTAGAATATTTAGAATATGTAATCCTTTACATCTCTAATATTTAGAATATGTACTAATTTTTTATATGTTTCTGCTTTTAACGTAAGAGAATTCTCTTAGTGCCTGTTTCAGAGAAGAATATTCTTTATATAAGTGTAATTTTCTCGAAAGGAGAATACAATTTTTTCAGCGTGTGGCCAATTACAGTTGCAAATGCCAAACACTTCATTCGCGACCTTTCCTCTACGGTTTCGCGCGAGATGCCGGTGAATTACGCTCGGAGTTCGTAATCAGACATGCGCGAATTCGCTGCGATTTTCGTTCCGATGGGCAGGATACGTTGTGCGAAGAAAAATAGAGAGAAAGGAAAGACGACTACCATGTTGATGACGGTGTTTCTTCTCTGCGCGTCTTGCGTGTATTTCGCGTGTATGTAACGCGCGTTACATTAATGTAATTATTATTCAATATATGTATCAGGAATTATATCGGCGTATCGAGGGTAGGATACCGAGGGAACCGGTAATTTACGACGCGCGCGGAATTTACGAGCGGCCGTCATGGAAATAGGCAGGCCGTCGCTTAATTAGCGTAATCATACAATTACTTGCATACATACATATACATACATATATGTATATATATAGAGAGAAAGAAAGAGGCAGAGAGGGAGAGAGGGAGAATCGTCTTATACAATTTTTTCGACTTTAATTACGGAGGCACAGTGGAACAACCTGCAAAATGAGATGAACGAGTCTGCTTACACTCTTAACTATATATCGCGTAATATTTTCAAATTCGAGGTACTAATTTCTAAATGGAAATGGCATTTCGAGTTACACACATATATATATATATATATATATATATATATATATATATATATATATATATATAAACATGATAACTTACATTTATGGTCATTTTTATTATGTTTTATATATATATATATATAATTATAATTTTTGTAATAGTGTCAATCTATTCCTGGACTAAAGTTGCATTGTTATTTTTACTACAGTATTCTTCCCGTGCACGTCTCTTGTAATTACGCAAGTTTCTACTTCAACGTGTATCGCCTAGTTTTGGCGATACATGCTTAAGAGTGTACGCACGGAAACGAGTATAGCCGTCGATTTCGCTTTTCTCTGCTTGTCCTTGCGATTTTTCCCGCCCGATATCGGTAAGTGGCGCAGACGCAAGGAGCGTTATCGGCGGCGGTGGAGCGTAAACGCCGATCGTACGCGACATCGATAAGTCGACCCAGCCGCCGTAGGACGACACATCGGCCTCAGGTGTAACCCGATGCACCTGATGCACCTGCGCGCCTGGCGTGCACAGGTATCACTGCGGCCGTCGATGTACGCGCGTCTGTGGCCGATATCTGCGGCCACCTGCGGCAGGCGGCCTGCGACGGGCGTCATTAGCGCGGAAATCGACGGCGGTCGATCCCCGGAATTTTCGCGGATGCGCGATACGCGACGTTCGCGTGGCGTCGCTAATTAATCGGATGCCCGAGAGTCACCGTTCGTTCGTTCGTTCGTCGACACGTCGAATGGTCGCCGCGGTGGCCATTACGATGTTACCGCGCGGATCATCAAGTTGTGTACTCTTTCAATTTCCTCGAGCGAGATTGCTCCGCTCGAGCAGAAGCAGAGTGCCAGCCGCGAGTCACTCGAATTCGAGTGACACACATACACGGAGAGAATATTGCAGTAAAAATTACAACGCAATTTTAATAGTTCGGGAATAGACCGGCATTATAAATATAGTAAAAATGAATAAGAGTAATAAATGTAGTAAGAGATACATGTAGTAAGAATTATCATATAAATTCTTTTCAGTTTTATCATGTTTCTGATAATACAGCAAATTTCGCTAGAAACATAGCGAATCTTTCAATATCGCATTTCAATCCCTGAGATATGAGTAACACATATGAAATGAGAGGATAGTCAATTATTGTAAAATATCGGTCTGTTTCATTGGTTACAAGATATTCTACAGTAATTCTTATTGTTATATACTAAATTTATACATTCAAAATTATGTATGTGTACCAAATGTATATATTCTAAAATCCCCTCCGTGCATTTGCCAAATTAATCGAAACGAGCGACTTGGTGAGGTGAAAGATGTATGTATCTCGAATCACATTTATTTACCGTAACTTCAACGATTCGATTATCAGTTGGGCCTTCGTGCGAGCAACGAAAACCAACACGGCAAGCAACGGATTGACAAACGCGGAGCGATTGCGAATCAGCCGCGTTGCGTCGCGAGAGAACCGTAGCCTTTCCCGCGTCCGCGATTCAACGCCGGTCGCAGTGACGGATCGGATCTCTCTCTCTCTTTCTCTCTCTCTCTCTCTCTCTCTCTCTTTCTCTCTCGCGGGATATTTATTTTATCGATACAATCGCGATACAAGTCGAGAATGCGCCGGCGGGATAAGCTTAATTCGCATTCGTCCCGCCGCGGTCACGCCGTGCTTTCCTCGACGAGGAGAAGGAGGAAGAAGAGAGAGAGAGAGAGAAGAGAAGAGAAGAGCTACGCGCGCTCGCATCGTTAAGACGTCAATAAACGCGCGCCCGCGTGCGCGCGCGGCCGACCACGTGATAAGATGTCGGAAAACGAAGAAGAAGACGAGATGCATCGAGGGTGCATCTGCGGTACAAATCTGCTGGTTTACGGACCGTGCGCGCGGCCGGGCGCGTCTATATAATTATTCCCGATGCAGGATACACATATCTTTATAAGGAAGGGTTCACGTGTTGCGGCCGCGGGTATCCGCCACGGTATCTTTATGGCTTATTGCAACGCTTTAGGCAACTTCGTGATCAGCGGAGGAGGAACGGATGAGAGCAGGGAGGGAGAGAGAGAGAGAGAGAGAGAGAGAGAGAGATGGGGGGGGAGTGAGGGGGAGAGCCGCTCGGACGGAAAGCGCGCACCGCCGCGTTTCTATCTAGATTGCGCCGAGGCACATAATTGTTTTGATATTACCGCGTATGTGCGAAAAATACGTGATTGAAGACGCGAGAGTCTCGGAGGCGTCGGATGCTTTTCAGTTGCGTTTCGTGCAGTCACGCCTATTATACGACGCTAATAACATATATTAAACGAGTCGAACGCTAAAGACGTCTCGCGCGGCTTGAAATCGGTTAATTGCCGGAGAGATCTTGCTGCCAAATAACGACGGTCGATGTGGTCGAATGAGAGGAATCCATCGTGGGCATGGGGGGAGGGGGAAGTGGATCGTAACCTTCTCACCCGAGAAGACACAAAGCGCTCAGATTCGTGGAATATATCTGTTGAAACGTCGAGAGAATTACGCAAAAAAAAAAGAAAAAGAAAAAGGAAAACACTTTGAAAAGAATTCCCATCGAGGAAAAAAAGAGGTCGTCCCGCTCTCGCCGGCGAAGAGAGAATATTATCCTCGCCTTCTCTCGCGCGAGACACAATGTATCGCCCGGCCGAGCTATCGCCGAATCGTTCGCGAAACGCGACACGCGGACTCTCCCGCATAACGTGGACGGTCCACGTACGCGCGTCTCTGGTTCACCTTACGGAGATGAAGGGGGACAGGAACTCAGATGGAGAGATAAACAGATTGAGCGCGCGGGCCAGGCGAGCAGAGGGAAAGAGAGAGAGAGAGAGAGAGAGAGAGAGAAGAGAAGAGAAGAGAGGCCAGGAGAGTATACTGGTTCAAGGGACCAACAATGCCCTCATTCAGGCCTCGTACACACGGGCGCATTATTGAATTCAGCCGCCTTCAGAGACAGATAGAGAAGGAAAGGAGTGACGGAGAGCGCGAGGAGTGTGCGAGAGAGTGATAGACAGAGAGGCAGTACGAGAGCGAGAGAGGGTTACGTGGACGGACAGGGACGAAGGGAGGTTGGAGGTGGGGGAAGGGGAGAGGGGAACGGGCTGAATGCTATCTATATTATCCGAGCAAGGGTTTAGCCGCTCACGCTGTTTGGCGTAGATCGAGATTATCTACCGCGGTATCTGAAGCCGCAGCCGCGCGCCAAGCCGCCGAAAAGCGAAGTGCTTGCTCCGGACGAGGGGAGGGGCAGGGAGGGGGACGCGGACACACGGGGGATGGTGCGAGATCGCCGCGAGATACGTTTGTGCCTGTACACGTCTAGCCTCCAAATCTAATGTGACGTCTGTGTCACGTACCTCCTTCCACGCAGCTCCACGTCGCGCGCATAAACGGTCTCTCTTTCCGCCTGGCCGTCTCCCCGCCGTCTCTCCTCTCGTCGTCGAACGAACGCGCCCCTATACGCACGCATCGCCGGCGCCGTATCTGCGCTCTCTTGTCGTGCCCTCTTGTCCTCCCCCCCCCCCCCCCCCCCCCCCCCCCCCCCCCCCCCCCCCCCCCCCCCCCCCCCCCCCGCCCCCCCCCCCCCCCCCC